CCCCCCCCCCCCCCCCCCCCCCCCTCCCGGGAGGCATCAGCAAGTAGATTATCTTGCAAGGATGCGCATAGGGGGTAACGAGAGAGAGAGAGAAGAACAAGGCTACTTCATGGGGAGGAGCCCGCGCACCGTCAAAGGCGGCTAATGACGCCGTGCGCCTTCCCTTCCACCTCCGCCTGCTGGGAGTAGGCGAGCTTGACGGGAACCTCCAGCTTGGCGGGGGTGTGGGCGTCGGCATACCCGGGGATCACCTGTTGGTGGTTTTTCGTTAGGGTTCGTTGTACGACCAACAACATCGACAGACGTTGGTTAGGGTTTGTCGCACGACCGACAACACCGACAGACGAACACAAGAGAAAGAGAGACTGTGCTCATGTCTCGAACGGGTAGTCTTTCTTTGATTGTCCCACGTTTATTTGCAATTAAAAAGAGAGAGCCAAAAGCAAAACATATTGTGCAACGGGCGGGTGGGTGCCATCTTGACGAACTTGGTTTGCGTAAATGTTAATGTTTGACAAAGGTGTTTGGCCGGCATTACATTTCTGAGTTCTTCAGAAACACCTGCATTTTGAGGCACGACGGTGGTGCATATCTTGGCTCTGAGAGTGGCTCTCGGCCTCTGCAGCAAAACGTGGTACAGAATGTGAAGCTATTCAAAGTCATTCGTTCGTAGGGTGCTGCGATGATGCATTGACCACATTTATCTCAGTTCGCACGTTCGCGCAGACACAAAGAACAAGGCCGGATAAGGGAGACAAAGCAAAGCGCACGGGGGGGGGGGTGTACTCATAGTCGTGCATGCCGTAGTCGTTAGACCATTGCTCTCGCATCCCTACAAAGCCGGGACAGAGCACGCCGGGTTCTCACCGTACCAGGCTCTCACATCAGCAAGCGCGATGCGCCGTGAGGTATTCGGCGAGTCGCATGAAGGGTGCGCGGCATCCGCGAAGGGTATTCGGCATCTTGTGCTTACTTCCTTGCGTACGGATGACAGCTGCGTGTGACTTCATCAATTTTCTGGTGCTTTCACTTCCAGAAACAGTTGTAAGCACTTTGTAGCTGCCTCGAGAGTACGTGACCAATTTAACACAACGTGGTGCGATCATCCCCTTTGCGTGGAGTGAGGGTTCTCGACCCCGCACAACATAATCTACTCGACCACCATTCATGGTTACCGGAAAGAAAAAGAGCCCAAAGGCCAAAAACAAGCAGTAACCTGGTTGCCGAGCTCACGAAGAAGGGGGGGGGGCATATTTGTGCATCCAATGATGGGACGCGGAAGAGCAGGGTGACTTGCTCGCGAAAGTTTCATACTTACTACTTCAACACACTCCGATCGATGGATTCCTGTCTACGTGGCCCCGGACTGAGCCGTTCAGCAACAGAGAGAGAGCCAAGGCCGCACGGAAGTGGATGCCGCGGGCGACATTTGACGATTGGCAAAGAGAAAAAACAGGAAGGTTTGTTCGTCGAAGCAGATAGAATAAACTGGTGTTTATTTTGTAACAGTCGAATTAGAATTTGGCTTCATTTTCTACCGGAAACCCAGGGTCACGGTGTTTGGAATTATTAGTCTATAGTTGGGGGTGTCATTCCGTGATCGAGTCCACGCAGGGGCTGTAGCAAAGTCGGGTAACGTGTGACAGCTACAGAGCGCGTGAAGCAACGGAAGGACAGCAGCAGCCGCCTAACGCAGTAGCGGCGGCAGTTTAGAAAAGGGCGGGACGGGACACGGCGCAAGCATTGGGGAAGTGACCAGCACGCGACTCTCCATATAAAGGTGTGTACTCGTGTCCAACATCCATCGTGTCGGCCGTGTTCCTATTCGCGTCCCGCTACTCTTGTGACCTCACCGCTGCGTGCATTTAGCACGAGGGGGGAGGGTGCAGTAAGATAAGCGGCGGCAAGCCAACGCAGTCTCGCTCGCCGCGCCGCTCAGATAGGTCCCTTCCCAAACATGGGATGCGGTTCATCCCAACCGAGACGTACTCTCGCTGAAGAAAAAAAATGCGGTTCGTCCCAACCAGACGTACTCTCTCTGAAGAAAAAATTCAACGGCAAAAAGAAAGAGCGGGGCCTGTTGTATGGTCGCACGCTGACTTGTCGCGGTTGATAGCAGCCATTGTACTGCACGGGGTGGAGGAACCCTGCGGCATCGGACATAACCAATCGACCCGCGGCAGTAGGGCATGATGCTGTCACGATTATGCACATGAGGCAGGTGCCTTGTTTTCTGTTTCCCCCGGCTTACTAGGGACTACTTGCCGGTACAATCTTGTCTGTGCCGCGCACAGAGGGGCATATAGCTGAAGGAATCGACGATAATATGCCCACTCACGTAAGCAATCGTCTCCACGGATGGTATTGACAAGTCCCCACTGATGGTATCGACAAGTCCCATGGCATACAAAGCGGCCGCATACGTAATCGGAAAGTGCATTCAACAGCATTCACGGGAACGGATAAAAGCAAAAACACATGCATGCGAGAGAAAGACTCAAAGAAAAAGACTGAAAAACAATGAAGACGAGAAAAAAAAAAAACGAGACAGCGAACTACGTGCTGTATGCATAAGGAAAAAGAAGATGAGAAAAAAATAGGGGGGGGAGGTGGATGTGACACGCGAGGTTCGAACTCGCGAGGAACGTCAGGTAGCGGTCCATGTGAGTGCATCACGGTCTCGAGGGGCATCACGTCAAATTTATTGCCGCCGTGACACAAACCTTCTATAAGAATACGTCACGTCCATCGACGATTAAGCGACCAAAAACGCCCGGACAGCAATTGATGCATGCCAAAAACTCGTCAACCTGCCGTAGGATTGTCTATGCGGAAGTGATCTCAATGAAAATAAAAAAAACAAGGACACGCACCAGCACGGGACGCGCCAATAGTGGAAGCACTCGTCCGTGCTGTTGGCGAGTGGAAGTTAACCGATCTCAACGCAACGAAACACGAAGTCATACATGTATCAGCACGGGATGCGCCAATGAGTGGAAGCACCCGCGCTGTTGGCGAGTAGAGTTAACCGAATTCAACGCAGCGGTAGGAAAATACCACAAATCATGCATCAGTACGGGACGCGCCAATGAGTGGAAGCACCCGTGCTGTATATGTGTTGTCAGCCTCAGCACGGGACGCGCCAACGAGTGGAAGCACTCGTGCTGTTGGCGAGTAGAGTTAACCGATCTCAAAAAGAAAGAACAAAACGCCGTACACGTATTAGCACGGGACGCGCCAATGAGTGGACGCACCCGTGCTGTTGGCGAGTAGAGTTAACCGAATTCAACGCATCGAAAACGAAGTCGTACACGTATCAGTACGGGACGCGCCAATGAGTGGAAGCACCCGTGCTGCATATGTGTTGTCAGTTTCAGCAAGGGACGCGCCAATGAGTGCTGTTGGCGAGTAGAGTTAACCGATCTCAAAAAGAAAGAACAAAAACGCCGTACACGTATCAGTACGGGACGCGCCAATGAGTGGGCGCACCCGTGCCGTTGGGCGAGTAGAATTAACCGATCTCCACGCATCGAAAACGAAGTCATACACGTATCAGTACGGGACGCGCCAATGAGTGGAAGCACCCGTGCTCATATGTGTTGTCAGTTTCAGCAAGGGACGCGCCAATGAGTGGAAGCACCCGCGCTGCGTACAAGTATCATCAGTGCGGGTCGCGCCAATGAGTGGAAGCACCCGTGCTGCATATGTGTTGTCAGTTTCAGCGAGGGACGCGCCAATGAGTGGAAGCACCCGCGCTGTTGGCAAGTGGAGTTCACCGTATCCAACGCATCGAAAAAAAAAAAAAACACGTATCAGCACGGGACGCGCCAATGAGTGGAAGCACCCGTGCCGATGGCGAACCGGGGTTCACCGAATCCAAGAAAATATATATATAAAAAAAAAAAAAAAGAGAAACCATCGCTAGTGTTCCAAAGAGAGAAATATTCGGGATTGGTCGACGTCCGGTGACCGTAGCGTCAGCAGCAATAATCACTCCATTCAATCCACAGGCGTCGAGAATGAACTAACGCGAGCTCGCGATATAACAACGCGTCGTTCTGGGCCCGACGAAAACCCACGTCAGATAGTTTCGCCCGAAGATAGGATTTGTAGACCATTCTAACTGCAGATCCAGGCGCGCGATCGACTACGCCCACGATGAAGAGGAAAAGAAGTGTTCCCGCAACGCCGCCCTGACGCTCGCCCGCCGCCTGCCGCCGGTCCGCTGCTTATACGACTCCAACCGCGACCAGATGCCGACACGGGCCTCCACGCGGAGCGGCAGGGCAGCGGCTGGGCAAGCAGGGCGAGGTCGGGCGGCGACACCTTCGACACCACGCACGAGAGGTCTACCGCGCGATCGGTGGCGAGCTCGACGGCTCGCCCCTCGACGCGCAGCGGATCACGTACTCCCGCGAGGCGTCGAGCGGTATCCTCCTCGCGAGCGCCAGGGACAGGCACCCGCGGCGACCCCCCCGCTGATGAGACTGAGCTCGCTTCTCTCCGCGGGCTGGTGGACGGCCTGAGGGAGGAGCTGCAGCGGAAGCGCGATGAGGCTGCCGGTGATCGCCAGCAGCTTCAAGCAACGATCGACGACCTGATCGCCACCCAAGCAGCAGGACCTGGCCTTCCGGGGGGGGGGTGCAACTTGTGGGCACAACCGCCCCACCATCGGCCTCTCGGGCCCCCGCTACACCCAGCGCCGAGGCGGCTAAGGCTACGGCAAAGGATAGAGCGCGGATGTGGGGGGACCTCCGCCGGGTAAAAGCGTGGCTCATCCTGGGGCGGCCCCCGGCAGTTTCAAAACTGTCGCAGATGGAGTGGCAATCCTTGCTTCGCAAAGGCGTCCTGGTGACAGAGAAAGTGGCGGCATCGCTCGACACGCTCGTGGTTACTGCTTCGCCTATCAACTCGTCGTCCGGTTGCCATGATCGTAACTGCCCACACATCCACGCCCAGAACCCTTCCCACGCTAGGCGCGGAGCGTCCGAAACTCCGGCAACCGGCGCGCGCGGCGTTGGCCACGGCAACGGGGGAGGGCGCGGAGGAGAGGCGCGCGCCGCTGGCGAGGGCGGCGCGAGACCCAAGGCCGCTGGCTTCTTCACCCACGGGAAAGACAAATAGGGGTGCGGGCTCTCCCGCGTAGCGGGGGGGCCTACCTCGGATGGCAGCGCACCTGCGGCTAAATCGAACGGCAGCACGCCGGTCTACACGAGGTTGGCTCCAGGGCTATCAGCAGGTTCAGGACCTGGGACAGGCAGGACGGGACTTTGTTACCGACGTCTTGGCATGCAGCTCGTCGAGCACTCAGTTGCGTCTTCGTCTAGAAGGACTTACACGTCAGGCTTCAACTCTTGGTGCACGTTTCGCAGGCTGACGGAGAAGCCCAAGTTCCTAGGGCAACGTGCCGGGGACCTTCATGTGTGGGAGTTGATAGACTTCGTAGCCTGGTGTTTCGAGTCTGAGGGTAATCTAGCGAGTACAATATCCGGAAAACTCACGGCTGTACAACATTTTCATAGGCTGGAAGCTTCTGTCGAGCTAGACTTGTCGTCTCCGATGTTGAAATGTGCGCTAAGGGGGATTGCGAGGAACCACGTGGCTGTGGGGACGGTACGCCGTGTGCGCCTGCCTGTGTCTTGGCGTATGCTGCTGGACGGGGAAAGCGCAAGCCAGAACTGGGGGGAAGGGGGCAGAGTGATGTGGCTGTGTCTGTGCTTGTCCTATCTCTTTATCACACGGTCTGATGAGGTGTTCGCGAATGATGCGGGCAGGGTGCATGAGGCACACTGTCTTACGAGGGCGGACGTAGCATTGTTTGCTGGCGAGACGCAATTAGTCTTTAGTCACTATCGTAGAGCAGACCGTGTCGAAATGAGGTTTAGAGGGCACAAGGCCGATCAAGAGCAGAAAGGAAACATACGGGTTCGTACGCGAGACGAAGTCACCGGACCGCAGTCAGGTGTGAGAGCACGCGGTGGCGCGGTGGCTCTTGTGGTGGAGCTGTTATCGTGTCATGCGACGTTCCCTGACTCCGCACCGTTGGCTTCGTACCGTAGTGGAAGAGCAGTGAGAGTAGTGAGGTATACTGCTGCCCTCCGTGCACTCAGAGAAGTGGTAGCGAGGTCGGGGCGTAACCCCCAGGAGTACGCGTTGCACTCGTTGCGAATTGGAGGCGCGACGGCTCTTGCATCGGGCGGAGACATCGCAGAACGAGTGATTCAGAGAGAAGGGAAGTGGAGGTCGGATGCATACAAGCCGTACGCGCGAAACAATGTAGAGGATTCGCGGCGAGTGTCACGGAAACTTACAGACGGCAGTAGGATCGTATCGAGACAGCCGGGGGAGGGGACCGTCTGGGGGAACGGATAGTTGACTTATTCGGTAGTCGTCCAGAAACTGACCTCGATGTGGGTGTTGTAGAATGGTGTGTACCATTTGAGGACTTGGTCAGTTTTGGGACTCCTGCGTTTGCAGTCGTAGTCCCCCGGCTAGTATTTGTGGGGAGAGAGATGGATTTGTAAGAGTTGACGCCGGCCTTTGCAGCTAACGCGGCCGGAGAGACGATGAGCGTTTCGTGCGTCTCTCTCCCCAACACGTAGCCTAGAAACCGAAGAAATAATGAAGCAATTCGAAAGAAAACAAAATAAAAGGAAGGTTTGTTCGTCGAAGCAGATAGAATAAACTGGTGTTTATTTTGTAACAGTCGAATTAGAATTTGGCTTCATTTGTCTACCGGAAACCCAGGGTCACGGTGTTTGGAATTATTAGTCTATAGTTGGGGGTGTCATTCCGTGATCGAGTCCACGCAGGGGCTGTAGCAAAGTCGGGTAACGTGTGACAGCTACAGAGCGCGTGAAGCAACGGAAGGACAGCAGCAGCCGCCTAACGCAGTAGCGGCGGCAGTTTAGAAAATCCCGCCCTCCCATCCCTTTTCTTTCGAAGGTGGGGGCATAAGTTCGGGAATATTCGGTATCTAGTCAAAGAGAAAAAACGTTACAGACAGAAGCGTGCGCGCACTTACCTGAGAGCCACGCTTGTCGTCCTTTGCCTTGCTGATCTCCACCGCCTTGGCTACTTCCGCCTCGATCTGCACGATGGGGCAGCGAAACCACAGACCACAAGAGGGGGAAGGAGAGGCGGCACCGTCAGGCACACCCGCGCGCATCTTCTGCGGGGGCGGTTATAATAGGCTCCCCTGCACTAGAGTGACCGCGGTGGACGAGACGCTTCGTGGCGAGCAAACGCAGACAAGCACGACAACACCAACGGCAACATGAGCAACTAAAACTCTCACCGCGATGAGCTTCTGCATGAGGTCGATGAAGCCCCTCTCCTCTTCCCCGAACTCTGACACGAGCAAGCTCTTCTGGAGCTCCCACCCGCCGTCATCCCCTCCCACGGAAGACCAGGTAGGTTGTTGTTGCTGCTGCTGCTCTAGCGTCAGGAGCCGGGCCGTCTCGAGGGCGTTCCCCACCGGGGGAGGCATTCGACACACCCCGCCGCCGTCGTTGCCGTCCCCGTTGCCCCAGGTTGGTTTGGCGGGCCCCTGGAGGAGGAAGCGGTCCGTGCCGGATTGCTCTTCGAGGCGAGAGAGGAGGCCTCTGAGGGCGTATCTGTGGATGGTCGGGGTTTTGTGCGTCCCGCAGACAACAAGACGACGACACGTTGCGTGAGCACTAAGACTTGCATGATGCAATTGCGTGAGCGTCAAGACTTGCATGACAAAATGTCGGGGATAAGAACATCCTTGCTCGACACAAGTCGGGTCTGCAGCGTATCATACCGCGCAACGCGAGTGGGCCGGGGGAGGGGGTCCGCGATGCATGAGGGACCCTGCAACGTCTCGTACGGGACCAACATTCCACGTATGCTCCTGACACGATTTGGAAGTGCGTGTATCGAGTAGTCGGGATCGATGGTTTACGCACCGTATCAAAAGAGCAACGTGCGATGCAAAAGGCGTCACACCATCTTCTGTAGGCGGGTCAGGGCTCTGGAACACATGAACGATGCAAGCTGTCAAAAAAAAAAAAGAGTGGTCGTCGACGAGTCCGCATCCACGGCTCTCGAGATTTTGTGAGCGCCGTCAGAGAGTAGATCGCGTGTCATATCATAATAATAAATCTGACCAGACTGGATGTCTTGTAAGCGCAATGACGTCAGTCACTCCCTTCTTTCGGTCCGAAAACTACTGCAAGAGGCGGAGAGATGGCACCCCCTCGAGACCGACGTTCGAGACTCGATTGCTCCACAAACAACGAGGTGCGGAAACTCAACGGATTTTCCTCTACCAGATGTTTCCAAAACCGAATATTTTGGTGCTGGCGCAATCTTGGTTGTGAAGCAATCGACAGCTAACTACGTCTCAGGTGCTGGTGGTCACACGAGCCAAGTCCGAAAAGGCAGGGTGGACGACAAGTTCGACTCGGCGTCTAGGGGGGGGGCGCCGTGGTTGGGAGACGACGGCTACCTACCCCGGATGATGTTTTTGATTATCTGTGCGTTATGGACACCTAGGGGAAAGGTACATGCCAAATCGTGCTCAAGGGTGGTTTCCGCGCAAAACGGTGAGCGTCTGTCGGGGTTCGTAATGCGCCAACCGGTACGCGTACCGAGTGCTTGCGGAAAGGTTTAATTATAATTAGTCTGTTAGTTGAAGGTGTCCATGAAAAAGCATGGGAAATGCATACCTGTACACGAAGAGAAATATTGCGAAATGATTAGGATTCGCCTGGGAGTTGAAGGTGGCCATGAAAAGAGCATGGAAAAACGCATACCTGGTATACAAACAGAAATGTCCTGCTCTTTCCGAAAAAAAATCGCAGCAGTTATCCCGGCGAGTTACAGGCGCAACCGCCCACACAGGAGCAAACCAATATGTCCTCCCATCGTGTGACGGATAACCGGACGCGACAATTCACGATTAACTGTTGGCAACACAAGCTATAACCGCCAGGCCCTCCATACTACAAGCAACGAGAGCGCGAAAGAAATCTGTGCCAACAGATTTTCAGCCAACAGCCCTCACAACAGTAACAAACACACACACACACACACACACAGGAGGACAAGGGAGCGACCAAAACAGTAATGGAGGAGGGAAGCATGGAGTGGAAGAGAGCAAAAGCGTTGCGTCAGATGACCTTCCCCACAACAAACAACGCAGGGCTAGAGAAGAACTGCCGAAAAATAGCTGTGAAAATGACCATGAGAGTGATGGTGGTGAAAGCAAGGAGGATCATGGTGAAAGCACTCCAAAACGAACTCGAGTCCAAGGTAGCAGCCGTGGCAGACACGTTCAGGTTTCCTCTGTTGCTACCATTTCTGTCTTTGACGCTGACAATAGCTTAACCTCCCCTATGCCGCCCCCTCACGGGGTCCCAGTCCATGGCGTTCAACAGTGTTTTTGTGTTTTCAACCGCACAGAGACTGGCATTTTTTCATTGGTCAGCCCGATAGCGGTCGATACAAATAAAAAAGGCACACACACATGTGCCATCTACCTACCTGCGCAGATGCAAGGTGTAGGTAGCGATGCCCTCCAGCCTGGAGGCCTCGGTCATGTAGTTCTTGCCCAGCCCGGCCACGCCGCGATCTCCGACGTAAACCTCCCTCTTATTCAAGCCGGCCGCCACGAGCCTCGCCCGGGCGTCGGCCATCAGTCGCATCATGGACGGACGGAAAACCGGCCAGTCCACTCGGTTGCGCCTGCTTCGACGAGTTCCCGCAAAAACAAAGCATTCCTCCATAGTAAAGGGGGGGGATGTTCGAGTGGGTCGTCTTAGATGCCTCCCGGGTCTGCAATACAACTACTGTAGCTGGGTTCTCGTTGGCGCAAACTGGTTTTGATGCACGGCAAAGAGGTGTGCTCGTTTCGCAGGAGAGGGGGTGCGAATGTATGGCTCGACGGCAGTGTTTCTGTGTTCAGGCGCGCGTGTGTGTTTGAGCAAAGCTGGTCGTGTGTTGAGAGGTTCTGAGCGAGCGAACGATATGTCCACCTCGCGACCAAAGGCAAACCCGAGGGGGGTGCAAAAGGCAAAACATAACAAAATTAGCTTGCTGCCTACCAGGAAATATTATTGATACCAGAAGCGGCCGCTGCGTTGTAAATTTGTGGAGAAACACAGCACATGTTACAACCGTGGCGTACGTCATGCGCAAGAAACGGGGGCATTGAACATACAAAAAAAAACGTGCGAACCGAGAATGCTCTTGCCTGGCCTTGGCACGTCGACGGTACTTGTCCTCGCTTCGAATGACCATGTACATCGACTCCGACAACACCCAGCCGGGGCGAAGGTGGTTAAGGCCGGGAGAGACGCCGGGGAGCCCCGCTTGCTCCTGGCTGTTGATGAGGCAGAAGGGGAACGCCACCTGACAAATTTTGACGAATCAGGGCCAAAGGAACGGGTCAACCTGAGGTGGCCCCACGTATCACTGGTTGGATGTGGGTGTTTGATTTAAGGCTGGTGAGTGTTGCCACCTTGCCTCTGGAACAAGCGGCCCCCGGGTATCCTATCCAACCCCGCCTCACACAGCACCGATGTCAACCATAACAACAACGAAGGCAGCAAGACGGAGAGGAGCGGCGCGGCGGCACAGCTAGTTCTGAACGACACGCGAACCGAGACGAAAGAGAGAGAAGTGGGGGGGGGGGGGGGGGGGG